AGGATCTGAGAGTTCTTGCGGGCTGGTAAAGATTAAGAAGGTCTTTGAGATACTGTGGTGAGGAGTCCACATTAAGTGTGTAGTACGTGAGAAAAAGACGTTTGAATGTGATACGGTGCTTAACAGGAAGCCAGTGGAGTTGCCATAGGATGAGTGAGATGTGTTCATTTGGGCGAGTACGGATGAATATTCGTGCTGCTTTGTTGTGGATTCGTTGAAGGTGCGAGATGACAGTTGATCTGGACAAAAGGGAATTACCATAATCTAATCTTGAAGTGACAAAGGACATTTGACACATCTGTCGGTTTTATGGTTATATGAAACTGCTGATCATCAGCATAACCATGAAACAGCAGTGAGTGACTCCTGATTATATCTCCTAGAGGCTGAATATATACTGAAAACAATATGGGGCCCAAAACAGATCCTTGTTGGACGCCATGTTGGGCTGTTACTGATCTTGATGTAGAACCGTCAACACACCTGTAGTACCAAAGGTGTGACGTAGACGAGACAGAAGACTGATGGAATCAAAGGCCGCTGAGAGGTCAAGCATGACAAGCATGATGATATACCGGTAACTACCCTCTGTGACACACATCATTGATTTCATAGAATTATACCACAGAATTACGATACGATTTTAACCCATGACCAAAATGTTGACATGTGTAACATCGGTGTAGTTTGGGACATACTCCGATATTAAAATATCCGATTTTAATTCATTGCGGAATAGTTGAACAAGCAAACATTAAGAGATATACATTAAGAGATATCTGCCGCTAAAAATCCTTCCAGCGTAAAGATTTGAGCTTTGAGCAAAGGACAGACCTTTTTTAAGGTTATCTAAGGTTAACATTAGTAACTAAGTTCAAACTCAGTAAAGGTTGTTTTGTACAACGGCACCCATTGGTACAGGCGTGTTGTGCTCAAGTAAATATGACACGAATCGCTGTATTTGTCTACCAACTCAGCAGAAGACATACATTATTCAGAGGTCAGCATCACCGGATTGTCTTAGCTGATCCTTATCCGTCAGGCACAAAAGTTCAGGCAAACAGAATGTGTAATAACTTGTGACATAACTGTACAAGTCATCCTGGTTGCCCAGTTTGATCACCTTGTTGGACCATCAATAGGGTGCTGTGGACGCTTTCTACCCCAGGGCCTAGATTTTCGAAGCTCTCTTAGCGCTAAGATAGGCGTAAGTTAATGTTAATGTATAGCACTCACGACTATCTTCGCGCTATGCGCGTTTTGAAAATCTAGGCCCAGGTCTACACGCAGGAGACACTATTAGCGTTACCCAGCACTCACTACGAGTTGTTGTCGTAAAATGCCTAGACTGATTACTTCCAATCGCAATCTGGCATCAGGACGTCTTGAAACCCGAGAGTCCCAGTGTTATCTTCACTAAATATTTACATCATTAATTCATTTGATCACCCCAAGTAGTAGTAGAGGTTTTTTTTGCCGCACATGCGGCTTAGAGGCTTATTTGTGGGAAATAAGCCTCCCAGCCCCCCCTTAGAAACGGCGTGTCTATCGATAGACATCCTTTAATGTATGGCCGTCGTTGCTAAGCCAAACAAAGATGGGGTCCGAGTTTAGCAACCCCGTCTAGGCCTGATGTCAGAGTATTTCCCTGGCTGTGGTCTGTGACGCGGGTATTGAATAGAAACAAGGCACACAGCTGTATTAGGGTTGGTGGCTGGTTGTAGCGAAAAGGATGTTTGAAACTAGACGCTGAAAACATTTTTAGAAGCCACAATCAATTATTTTAAAATCAGGTTACATAAGCTTGGAAAGCGTATGAGTTATGTATAGCGATGTTAAAATCTACAGAAAACAGTTTGCTTAATATGCATTGATGTAAACAGTAGCTGTTGCCTAGGTGCTCTTGCCTTACTGCCTACAGTCGGGTTTACCTAATGTGGGTTTCTTGAAAAGGAGTAGTACGATGAGGGTTTAATATTTTTTACTAGGTTATGTTTACATCAACAAATCAGTTTGAGGTGAATCTTTGATGAGATCTAAGGAAGGTTTGGAAGGCTTGAATGATTTGTTGTTGACCCTGTTCTATAAGCTTTTTTATCTCGTCTTCGCCGATGTCAGCGTTTTTTCAAATCGCTTCTTTCATGCGGTGGTATTTCGGAATTTCCGACATCACCAAACGAAACTCTACCTCGGAGAATTTGCTATCAGTGATTGCAGTGGAAATGTGATCGTTGATCATGTTTAACTTGGCTTCGGCCAGAACCCTGATCTCAACATGCTTCAGCGATTTCCATTGCAGACGACGTGAAATGAAATTAAGGGCTACTCCTGCCAGCCCCAATTCCCCGGCAGTTATTTCTTACCCGAGGACGATTGATGCTGCCACGATGGTGGATAATAAGCCAACGCCTGCTATGCCTAATCCCATGCTAACTGCCATAAGAGATGTGTCCACGTTATCGAGCGTTTCAGCCACGTCGTCCATGGCCGGATACAATCCCATTTCGAGTATATTATAAGTTAGGAAATAAGCTTCAGTTGATCCGCCGTCAATATTTGATGAATGTACTTTAAGATGATGACGTACATGTGGTCGGATGCAAAAGCCTGGTAGAGTAAAATTTCATCTGCAATAAAAACCTCGACTCCCTCAAGGCTTGTCGTGGAAGCTGTTGTATATACGACATTGTTGATTTTTATTGCGATCGTGCCAGCCTATGTTTAACCGAGACAGAAGACCCACCCATTGTCAAGAGTCATTTCCAAGAACGACGTCGATAATAAGGGTAGAACCTGGTATCACACTGATCCATCAGTCTGGGACTTTACTATATCATTGTAAATGGAGCCATTTCGATGCGTCTTCCGAGTGAGGGACTAGCATATAACCCGTTTGATCTGGTAATGGTGATGCGTACATTCACTTTTTATGAAACGGAATAAAACTTCCCAGTAGAATCCCATTATTTTTGAGTTCAAGGTTATGACCATCCTGATCCATGACGAGATAGGGTAGGTCAGGACGATATTGATGATCCAGTTCAATTCGACGATGATTTCTCGTCGTTGGTATACGTTGTTTTGTAATTGCAATACGTACAATGCATTTTCTGTACCTGGTTCATCGAATCCTCGCGTGTCCCCCGAGGTCAGAGATCGCTGCAGTAGGGCATTTTCTAATTTGCATGGCCGTTCCGGAACCCGAAGCTTGAGGCATCTTTGTTTGATGTACAGCGTGGCGCCGAGATAGCCGATATGCATAAAACTGATATTTTGAGTTCCGTTATGTTTCCGCGCGTTAACTTTCTGTACTGTAAGATCAAAAACGATTCCGGTGATGGTGTCTCGCGGTTGTACGTAGTTCGACGAAAACCCGAGTGTTCTCGCCAAGGGCCTACCGAATCGGATGGGTTTTTCCCCATTCGTGAACGTCAGCCTACCATTCGACTCGTTGAGTTTGAGGCTGGCTCCCGTGGGTTTGAATATTTCGTCGTAGGCATGCACACACTGTAATAACCGTGGACAACTCATGGCGATTGCCATCGATGAATAGCTTGTATTTACCGAGTGCCATAAAGTGATACCAGGACACGTTGGAATACGCTCAGTCGAAAATCGACTACGTGTTCGGCGTGGGACTGTACATGGCTCCGAGAGAGATACGACTGAGGATCTACAGAGTGGTGGGCTACAACAACGAAATCGTCTTCACGACCGCCGATCAGAAACGCCGATCAGAGTCACGTCGCACCACCCACCAGCACTGGTGAAATGGAGATAGTGACGTCACCGCCATCGCTGGAGCCCAGCGGTCAATCCCCACCACACCCATCCGTACGTGTCATGGTTGAAAATCAACAACACCAGGCCGTCCCGCCGACAATGTTAGCCCACAGGTTTGACCGAACCATGTGACCGTTTTTGACAACAAGCCGAGCAACCAAGACGCGATGCTGCCCAAGATGCCTGGCAGGGCTTCGGCCAGTCTCGCAAAGCCTTGGCTGAGCGATTTCAAATGTTTTTTGATCCAGTCTCTGACATTGCCACCTATTTTGGGTAGTGGTGCTGGGCTTGGTGGTGTGCTTCCGTCGCCACCTGTCAGTGCTAGGACCAGGGTTGAGATGATGAAACTCAAAGCCATTAGAACGCTGGCGATGGTAACCCCTCATTCTCTGAATAACGTTTTAAGCCGTTCGGCTTACGTGGTGTCCTCCATGAGGACTCGGTCGATGGTATCGCGAATGTTACTGATCTGGGTTTGAAAGGCTTCTCGGTTGTATGACGAGGCTTCTGTTGGCTGATATCGGCGATCATATCATCCGATTGTTCGCGTTTGGTTGTCTTCGTAAGCGATACGATCGTTGAGTTCTTTCACTTTAGCCATGTCCAAAAATGATCAACGAATGGTTCACAAGGCCTTGTCTAGCCCCCGCAGTTCCCGAAAGGGAAATTCGAACGGTACGTGGCCAATATTGTTTCGATGTCATTCAAGGCTTCTTGCGCATGTTGCGGTAAGTCTTGTAAATCGTTTTGTTAATCGCATTCGCCATGGCATTCAGCTCGGTCCGCACCATGTGTAAAGCCTGGGTGGTCTTCGAGGGAAGTTGATTTGGTCGTCCACCGCCGTACCCTCGGATGTTTAATCGGTCTCGGACAGAGGGGGCACTGTGACGACCGGCCAGCGTGGACAAGGTGAGATGTTTTCTCGTGTGTTTGTTCATGAGATCGAACTCCGGATCCTCTTTCAGCCGTAGTATCCCTCGATCATATATTTCGAACTTCGAATAATCACAAGAAAGAGGGGTGAGATTTTCCTCTCGCCTTATGGTGTCGTAATAATCGTCCACGGCCGTTTTTAACATGGTATCGCCTATGCTTTAACTCAGGAATGAGGTGTCTGCATATTCATCATCATCGAGCAAAGGGGTTCTATCGTCCGCCAAATCACCTTCAGCCATGGTTCTATTAAAGATATAAAAAACATACTTGCAGTATAAATGATGTCGTTGGCCTACGCACGAAAACTCGATCCTTTCCGAAAATTGAGAAAACCCCTGGCGATGGCTCGCTTGTCCTTCCAGATCAGTTTGGAATCCGATGATAATAAGCGAGAAGTCGTGGGGAACCTGGGTCGCACCATTGTGAAGAAAACAACCTTCAAAATCAGCGAAAATGCAATTTTGAGCTTCAGCTACACGGACCTCTGGAGAACCTTGAGCAAACGGGAAAACATGAAGTACCAAGGGATTTGTCCGGCCGCGTATCCAAACTCGCCGCAATGGCGAAAAAAACACATGGCCATCGCTGAGGCGTTCGGGAACCGATTTTGCATCCCGTTTGACTTAGAGTTGCTGGAGTGTCACATGCCTTTTACCAAGCCGCGTTGGGCGACAGGCTGGAGTACGAACTGGCGTTTAACGATTATAGCAACATGATCATGATGGAGAGCGGCGAGGAGGGTCGCTACACCATCGACAACATTTCGCTGGAGTTTGACAAGGTGACGAATCCTGAATTGGCATGTTAGCCATCCTGTACGATCTCGTGCTGTGTCACCGGAATATCGTCGCGATCAAGAGCGACCCTCTGTGGATCATCAACGTGAACGTACCTGCGTGATTGATGAAGGGCATTTTGATCCTGCCGAATTTACGCCGTTTCGAAGGGTCAACGAAAAGTATTGGAACCCTGAGATCACAAAAGTCGAGATGACCGTCGAGAGCGTGGAAGGGTACTATCGGATGTGTTTGATCGTATCGTATTGATACGCGTCAATAAAATGTACACGGAGACAGCATGGCTTATGAACGACTCGGAGGTGTATAAAATTGACCCGGAGGTGTATAAAATTGACCCGGGAGTACATTTACAGGACTGGTTGCGAGCCTTTCATGAGAAGGGCGAGGGAGAATCAACGCTGTTTATCCTAGACAATTGCAGCGTGAATAAAGAGATCACCAAAAAGAGAGACATGTTATCGTATTTAGCGTTTTCGGGACGTCACATGAAACAAAGCGTTTGGGTCCTAGCGAAAAAAATCAACTCGGTCCTCAAAGACCTGAGGGAACTGACGCGATGGGTCGCCCCGTTTCACTTCGTTCGAGGAATGTTTGAGGGAAAACCTTGTTAGCAGAAACAAAACATACTAAACTCTTTCTGAAAACAGACGAACCCGTGGATTATGCGGCGTGATAGCTTAGCAAAATCAAGCTACCTGCTAAGCAAAATCAAGCAACCTCCTTCACAAAAATTAAATGTATACCTCCTATAGATTAAAAACCATGACGATGTTTGAAATTCTCGTGTTGCTTTACCTGACATTCATCTCATTCTGTTTGGGTGATGTCGGATTTTATTATATTAGATTTAAAAACAGAATGATGTATTACAAGATTGAGTTGGACGACATGCTCATACAAATGATATCTGAGGAGGAGAAGGAGAGTGAAAATGAGGTGAGGTGAGGTGAAATTGGGTTTAACGTCGTGCTTGAAAATATTTCACTCATATGACGACGTGCATGCGTGTGTATGTGTATCTGCGGCTGTTTGTACTAGCCCAGACTTAGCTGGTTTTATAGTGGTACCCGACTGAGATACCATGCCACAGTGAAGCATGAATACCCCACTCAGACACATTATACTAACTCAGAGCCGACCAGTCCTAGTTGTACCCATTAATGCCGAGCGCCAGGCAGGGACCAACAAGTACCATATTTTAACGTCTTGATCGCATTGGCCAAACTAGATATATAAGTAAGTTTGACTTATTGAAGGACTTCTGGCATAGTCCACTCGCATACCATGCAAAGAAGATGTCGGCATTCGCTACACCAGATCGACTGTATCAATACAAAGTGATGCCGTTTGGTCTGAAGAACGCACCAGTGACGTTCCCGAGACTCGTCAACAATGTCACTTCTGGTCTTGATAGTGTCAAAGCTTACATGGATGATGTCATCAATGGGTGGGAAGACCATCTGAAGGGAACACGTGCTTTCTTCAAAAGTCTGTCTGAAGCAAAATTTACTGTAAATCATGCAAAGTGTGAATTTGGGAAGGCACAAGTTGAACTATTAGGGCATGTTGCAGGGCATGGCCAAGTACAGCCAGTTCATGCCAAGGTTGAAGCTACAGTACCTCAGTCTAAGAGAGAGCTCATGAGATTATTGGGTATGGCAGGCTATTATAGAAGGTTTTGTCAAAATTTCACAGATGTTGTATCACCACTTACCAACCGTTTGGGAAAAAGGTAAAATTCCTGTGGGATAGCACTTGACAGACTGCATTTGAAAAGGTCAAAGCCATACTCATGAATTCTCCGGTATTGCAGGCGCCAAATTTTGAGAAAGCATTTAAGTTACAAATTGATGCAAGTGATGTAGGTGCAGGTGCTGTCCTGATTCAAGGATGATTCAGGAATTGGTCACCCAGTTTGTTTGTTTTCCAAGAAGTTTGATAAGCATAAAAAAATTATACTACCAACGAGAAAGAGCTATAGGGTCTTTTGCTAGCTTTGCAGCTTTTTGAAGTGTACCTAAGTATCACTTATTTTCCAATTGAAGTGTTTACTGATCACAATCCCTTGACTTTACGGGGAGAGTGTTATGAGAGTTTGATTTTTTAAAATTTGTAATATCATTGATTAAGAGATAGTATTGGGTCACAATGTTGAAAGTTTTGAGTGTGGGTTTTGGCTCACATCTCGCATCATATATGATCTATTGCAGTAGTATTTGTAGCGGTACGCCTTTTGAGACAGTGCTTCAGAGTTGCCTCCCTTTGCTGGTTGTTTATCGTGTTGACTTTGTCATGTCGTCGAGTTTTCTACAGATTTCCATAAAGCTCTGAGAGAATAATGATACATCCTAACTTTGGTAGAATGTTCTGGAACTGAGTAAGAGCTATATAAAGGCTGGTTGTTGGTGTTGTACGACACAGAATCACTTTGGACTTTCTTACATGACTGGAGTTATACACATCACTGGGATAATTGTGACAGAAGCTTTGTTATCGACGAGTATCCCTTTTCCCTCGTTATCATAGCTGCATTCAGTCCCTGCTTATTCTTAGTGGTTAACCTTTGATGCAGTGTGACAGACATATTTCACAATGTCTTCACCCGCAGGCCACATGTACTTACCTGCTGAATCGGAATCGAGATCTACCTCGGAAATGTAAGGAACTGTAGAGGAATACATAGATTTCAGTCAACTTTCTGAATATTCAATCACTGTAGGGCGATTTGACAGATATTATAACAGAAAACATAGCTTCAAAGGATGGCAATGAGACATTTATAACAGAAACTGATCTTAGGTTATTTGATTTACGTCTGTTTATAACTAATATAAAGAGTAACACCATTACTTACATTGTTACTTAAAACACAGAACATTTGTTAAAACACAGAACTTTTCATTCCTGCTGTAATTGTGATTTGACTACTCACTGCTCATGCGCAGATAAATTACCGTCGTTGATAATAACCTCCATTAACTGGACAATGCCAAAAATGTGTGTTACGTTAATAATGAAAAAGACCAGTTATTCATTCAGCCAGTAGACAACTACGTTCATGTGTGATATTCTAACTGAACCTATAATGTTTTACATGCAGACTTTATGTAAACTTGCATAGAATACAATTTGATTGATGTATTTACTGACTGGAGAATTCTGTACGAGATATACAGACAGGCAAACTGTAATGCAACTGAGTTAAGCAATATAGCAAAATGCTTGGCTCGCATCTGGGAAGACTGGTCATTTTGCTCTGTTGCAAAACTCAGTTGCATTACAGTTTCCCTATTAAATGAAAAACAAAACTATTGTTAAATCGATATTCTAAAATTGTATCTATCTTCATTGGAATAACTGTATGCTGATTATTATTTGTTAAACTATAAAATGTATATGTTACGTGAGTTCTGCTTCTATTTCTGATCATCTTTCTTCTTATTGTAATGATAACCAGTCGAACATTGTATTTGCAAATCAGAATGTTAATTCCTTAGTTTTAATTGATATTCCCAACACATACAATCATTTAATTGCAATCTCTTTAATAGTCAATGTATTCATGTTAAACGCAAATGTAAAAGCTGTGTTTCATGAAATTGAAATAAAATAAAAACTAAAGAAAAAATTCAATGTACATGTCATCTTAAAAGCTTGATAAGCAATGAACACAAGTACACAATGTAATGAACGCGTTTATTGCTTGGGTTGTGTTTTAGTGCAAGATGTTTTTGCATTGACCTTGTACAGCTTCCGCAGTAGATTGACATATGCGATTGAAAATTAGCATGGGTCTTCAAATTTGTAACTGTGTTAAATTATGAGATTAAGTATATCCTGACCTTGGCGTGTCAGCTTCATAAGGGATGAAGCCCAGGAGTAGCGCAAGTCCCACTCCTCCGCCACTTCAGTAGAATTCACCAGCAGAGTCTAACACTTATAAATCTCAAAACCATAAGCAGACTACTATCAATTTCAGACATGATACCACAGAGTCGGCATTCGGTTCTCTTGCCAAACACTCAACTTAGCATGCGTGTCGTCCATATTGCTCTAGGTTAGAGTTACCTGCCCTTGTCATTACTGAGTTCTCTCCCTTTCCGGGTACTCGATTCCTTGAAATGTGACTCGATTCCAGCTGTACCCGACCCGGATTCGAGTACCCGAGTATCCGTCCCAGCCCTATACGACGGTATAGTTCATATCATCGTTTCTCCCGTCCAGGTCATAAAGCTACTGGAGGGTCTTCAATTATTGTGAAGCAGGGTATAATCCATAGTCCTGTTTCACTTAATACCCCTCTGCAAGCAATTACAGTCGGGCTTCCTTTTAGTTTTGTTTTTACTTTATGTTCTATTTATATTCCACCCTCTTTATGTCTTCAGCAATCAGATCTTCAAGAGTTGTATGATCAACTCCCCTAAACCCTGTATTATTGCGACCGCCTCCGTGGTGTAGTGGTTAGAGCGTCCGCCCGGAGAGCGAAAGGTCGCGGGTTCGATCCCCGGCCGCGTCATACCAAAAGACGTTAAAATATGGTACTTGTTGGTCCCTGCCTGGCGTTCGGCATTAATGGGTACAACAAGGACTGGTCGGCTCGGAGTCAGTATAATGTGTCAGAGTGGGGTATTCATGCTTCTCTGCGGCATGGTATCTCAGTGGGCTATCACTATAAACCAGCTTCAGTCTGGGCTAGTACAAGCAGCCGCACATACACATACACACGCATGCACGTCGTCATATGAGCGAAATATTCTCAAGCACGACGTTAAACCCAATTTCACCTCACCTTAACTGTATTATTGCAGGTGACTTAAACGGCCACAGCCCACTTTGGGGTGGTACAGTTGTAAATACTAATGGAAAAATACTTGAAGATTTCATCCCCAATAATGATTTATGTATATTCGACGATAATTCCCATATTTATCTGCATCCTGGAACTGTAAGTTATTCTTCAATAGATCTTTGCTCTACAGACTCAAACCTATTTAATGAATTAATATGGTCGCGTCACGATGACCTTTGTGGCAGCGACCATTTTCCTACTGTTTTATCAACTGTACATCCAAGTGACACTCCACCATCATCAAGGTGGAACTTGAAAACTAGAAAATCATCCCTTCTGAATTCTATAAAACAGCGGAGGATATACCAATACCCTATATTTTACTACTCTCCAATAGTATATTGAACCCTGGTGTGTACTGTGATGCATGGACGTCAGTTATCTTAGCGCATGGCCTAAGTGTTTTAGCCAATCAGATGGCTAGTTTTCGCCAACACCCACTCCCGTGATGTTTGATATTGCAAACCATGTGATTGGTATTGGGTGAAAACTGGACATCTACATTGGCCGAATCATTCTGACGTAGTTTGTTTACACCGAGGAGTTACCACGTGTTTTTCACGTGTTTACGGAAAGCACAAGCCATGCTACAAATTAACACGTTTTATTTCAGAACTTTTACAGTGACAGCTTTATTTTCCTCGATATTTTTTCAATAACAACGACATTTACAGAGCTAGGAACTTTAGGTTTCATACAGGTTAACAAAATCATGAGGGCTAGAGGCGTCACTATACTGCACTACACGTTTCGTCTCAGCTTTTCGGTGATTCAGACCCCTGAACAGTTTCACTTACATGTTCCTGGTACACCAATGGTTTCTGTCGCCTAGAATCCACTGTAACACTGAACTGTTCCACGTGACATTCCTTGTGCTCACTGTATCCCCTAACAGCAAAACACTTTTCCACAATAGAAAAACACACCGTGACTTAACCCGTTGCATTTTTCAGTTTTTCACACAAGAATCCCACAGCTTATTTTCAGCCTCCTCAGTGATAGGATCAGTTCGTTTTCCTACACCAAATGCCTTTCCATATAGTTCGCGGGTCCAAAGTTTGTCTCAATGATTGAAACGAATGGTCGTCTTCCAATGGCAAGTTCAGGACACGCCCACATTCTTCACGTAGATAGCGCTGAATACCCATCACAAAGTGGTACAATGTTTGAGGCGAGTAATCACTCACATCCTCGGGACGAACTTCTATAACAAAACGTGTCAGCCTGTAGGAAATTTTCCTTTCCTCAGTTTTCCCCAAAGCAGGTGGAACAGCATAATAACCCTCGAAAAAGGTTTTGATTCCGGGAGTTTGCCCGCTTGCGAAAGGTGTTTGTTGCAAATTCGTTGTTGGCGCGCGTTTTTTTAGGTATCCAATCTTTTACGCGTTCTGTCAATTCGTCCTTCGAAATTGCTGGACCACAACCCTCACTATTATATTGGTCATAGAGTAGAAGTAGATCTTCGCTCTTTAACACCAAAGATTGAGTAGGGGTATGCAACATATCTGCGATCAAGATCATAGGTGATCATTTGGCTCAGATCGACTTCAGCGGCTTCCATTTCAGCTGCGAAGCGTCACCACGTCATCACGCTAGTAAAGCTCCAATTTGAATTAAATTTGCATCACAGTTTGATGTTAGGATTTCATGATGGGCAAGCGCTAAATTAGATGGTTCACAGGTTCTCGACACCAAATCGATTGGTGTCATAAACCCGTTAGCCATCCATTGCATAATACCATCCAAAAGAAAGGAAGCATTAGCAACCCTTATAACCTTCCGGGGCATATCGTTGCTTAACATCAGTAGTAAACTCTGTGTTTATGTTATGAATGGACGACAAATATAACTATTGCAGATTTTGACCAAGGAGGATTTCGCAAAGATCATTCATTTATTGCTGATAACACTGATTGACAGTATTTTTATCCTCCAGGCAGTTGTGACTAAATATGTTTCTCGAAAGAAGGGGAACTATATTGTGCCTTTATAGACTTTAGAAGGTCGTTCGACATGGTGAATAGAATAAGCTGTTTTCGAGGTCATAACAAATATGTATTTAAAAGTGTTAAATCTACAGTTACTTTTAATTATGGTACACAATTAAAAACACATTTTACAATTCCGGTGGTGTCAGACAAGGATGTACATTAATCCAAGTGTTGTTTTCGCTGTTCGTAAATGAACCTGTGTGTGATTTGCAAAGCCCATTTAATGGTGATGGTATTTTTATATCCAATGAAATGTTGGAGCGTATTGCTTTGCTGTTTGCTCATGATTTGATACTTACTGCAGATAGTGTAGTAAAAGTGTAAAGACGATTGGATGCTCTATATAATTATTCTTATAGATGGGGTATTGATATCAAGTTAGCTAAAAGTAAAATAATTGTCTTTAAAATGGGTGGGCCTCTGTCAAAATATGAACAAGTCTTCTTTATTGGGAATCCAATGGAAACAGTTAACGCATATAAATAACTGGATTTATTGATAACGCCTAAATTGATATAGACTAGAGTCTGTAAATCACTAGCGGAGGAAGCAAGTAAAGCATTTATGGCATATAAAATCAGACGATTTGATTTTTCATTAAAAGATGCTATATTTTTATTTGATAAAACGACTACTCCATTTCTAACATAAGGGGCTGCAATTTGGGGTTGGGAGGAAAGGAGTAATATTGAAACTATCCATAGGAAGTTTTGTCGTTCTCCACATTAGTTATTAATCGTCGAATGCTGTATCATACGGGGAGTGTGGAAGCTATCCATTTTGTTTCTTATCATATTACATGTATTAAGTATTGGCTACGATTTTTAACAATGCAACGCCAAAATATGCTTTCCATTTTATAATATGCTGTTGTTGTTTTTTTAAGAGAAAGAGGCCAAGCTGGGCCAATCATGTAAAATATTTTTGTTATGGCTACGTTTTTTTTTTATAAGCCAACAGGTTGGGGATTGAGGTCTTATTGTTTACGTTTTTAGTCAACGTTTTACAGGATGAGTTTATGTTTATCCCAATCGGCATTATTCTCTTCAGAGTGATTCACTCACATTTTATAATTCTGATAAGTTTTTGCTCAACTGTGAAAACTATTTGGTTACCCTGTTGTTTTGGAATTACTGGGAACACTATGGTCGGTTTTGCTTCGAAGGTAGCACTCAGTGTAACACCGCTTATAATCCCATACTCTGATTACAAAGCTGTCATTAAACCTATATCCGCGATCTAATGCAAAAGAAGTGGGACACCCAAGTAGGTATCAATACGTTACATGAAACTTTACCAGCCATCGGTTACACTTACTTGGGTTGTAAGTCCAGATTTGAAGAGGTCATTATGCGACGATGTTTCATTGGCCGCTGTAGATATACCCACGAATATTAGTAAAATCTTCCATTTTCATCCTTGTGGTGAAAGAATCACAGTCAAGCATGTCCCTCTTGACTAATTGATTTTTCTATCAGAAGGGATAATATTTCAAAGTTTTATCTACACGGTATCTTTTAATCATGTTGGTCCTCATTTAATCCTTAGATTATTAAACGAAACTGAAATGATAAGTAGGCTAACACAATGTGTAGGCAGTTGATGTTTAATATTTGTGGAGTTTCAGATGCATCTTAGATGGTCAGTGGCTGCATACTCGAAGGGGGGTTAAAATATTGTAAAATTGTTGTACTCCTGAGCGGGTACGTGTCCCCCAAAAGGTCAATTTCGACCTACAAAATTTTAATAGTTGTTGTTTTAAATAATGGCTAAAATCTCACTACACTCACCAGCGGCTAAAGGGATGATGTAAATCTTGCTTTGGTCCGTGCAGGTAACAAAAGCACTAAGTCCCCATGGTCCTGACCTTCAGTTGTTGGTGATCTATAGCCTTTTTAAATATTGTAATGGTAATATACTTTAAGTAACATGTTAGTTTTAAATCTCTAACTGTGATATTCTAGTTCTTTTACTGTGTTTCGCTGACAGATTTTAAGATATAACATTATAATTGATTGGAGTATGATCTTTTTTATATATAAATACAGATTTTAACTTTCTAGTTCACTCCAACCCATTTAGCATTTGAAACTGTCCGTAAAGAGCGCTCCAATGGACAGAACTCTATGAGGTTCGCTTCAAATAATGTTCGGCCTCTAGAGTGAGTGAATGAGGATTGCGCCGATTTTAGCAAAATTTCACCAGAAATGGACTTCACATATTGTACGCATGAGGGAAATCGAACCTGGGTCTTCGGCATGACGAACGAACACTTTAACCACTAGGCTACCCCACCTCGCCTCGGCCTCTTGAGGACGCGAGAGTGGATTTAATGCAAGGTTGCATTAATTCATTCTAACTTTTTGATTTAATATTGTAATCTAAATACGGTATTGTTTTTGGAATCAAGTTTATGGTAGCTGATAGTTAGTATTATTGAGAGAAAAGCATTATTTATGTTTAGAGAATCTTGGCGTGGTATAGTATCTTGAATAAGTTGAATATGAGGTATGAAATACAATTTATTCTTAAAGGTTATTCCTAAAATGGTGTCTCGTTGGAGTTTATAAATAAGTCTGCGTTGTTGAGTATTTTGTGTTTATTTACAAATATGAAAACAACATGTTTTGGCTTTGAAAAACGTAAATCCATTTTCCAGTGAACACTTGTGTAATTTTTTCAGGCAAGTCATGTCTCTCAATAGTATTCATCTTTTTGTCACGACAGTCGAAATTTGATAGATTTTTTTTCCATTTATTCTGAAGGTTTGCAACAGTAAACTGTCCAAAATAATCCTTATGGTATGTGCACACGAGGAAATGTCATTAAGTAGGTTTCTCGCTACTAACCCTTGGCATATACGAAATAATAATACACCTGTCACGATATTTGACATGTATATATACTGATGTAAACAGGAAACACACTTCTATAACTAGTGCAAAGATACCCAAACTAGGTAAACATGGAAATATACCCAAATGATTGCAAACACATGGACATGATTTAGCATTTCCAGAAATACCAATGCTATTCCAAGTGTCGATAAGTATATTTTTGTTCGTACCGTTAAAATTATAATCACCATACATTTACATCATTAATTAATTTGAACAGCACTGATTACCTATCACCTAAAGGTTTCAGCGTAGGATTTGTGGATAAGGCGCTATAGAAATACTCATTCATTTATTATTTATTTATATTAAAGTTGAGAGGAGAGCACTCAAGGTAGCTGAATTTGATATTATGGTTCATCCCAAGATAATGTTACTGAAGAAAAAGGTGAGGTTTGAGACAAAATCATCACCACTGTATGTCACTGGATCCGGTCTGCTAGTTGTGTATCTCGCATACACCTTTAAGCATGACAATTACAGTGTGTACGCTCAAGACCTATCGCCTTGTAACAGTTTGTTTTGTATTCGGAGTGCTAATATGCCAACTGCACCTGGTAGAGTCTATAACCTTTACCAATACTGGCTTCAAGTTTTGTCTAATCAAGTGCATACAGTATGGTTGTCCTGGTATCAAATACAACGTTGAGAACCAAACTTGTCAACACTTGGACCTGGAAATGATGATGGGGGAGATCGGACAACTTTTTGGAACTATGGATCTTCCAGATGTACGATTATGCCTACAATCATCTCCTTTATATACGTTGTTAATGCACAATCTTTTTTTATTGTAACCCTTGAAGAAGATCTTAATCAAAATTCATTTTCAGCAACCCATTCTTGCTAACGGGATCAATGCTCAGTGTGTTTGGTCCAGACTCGATGATTTACAGACCTCTATATTTGCAATTAGCAGGGTTATTCTTGCTCTTTTTATCAAATGAATGCTGAGTCAGTGCAAAGAGTAAATATATATTATAGATTAAAGCATTTTACACAATGCAAGGTGGGAGATTGTACAAAGATAACAATATAATTGCGAGGCCAATTAGACTGGATTAACGTACAAAGATAACAATGTATTATAATGACAAAGCCAAGAGTTAGGGTGGCGTGTGTTGATGTACAAAGATAACAACATAGCAGGAGGCCACTTAGCAGGGTTAAGCCCAATTCATGCAAAAGGATGACAATGAAACTTACATAGAACACAGTCAATGAACTCATAAATGCTTTCTGTCTCCAGGTCGGTACTGGCGACTGTGGTTTCAAAACGTGCCAAGGGATGAGATGCCCGAAGACTTGTGCTAGACAAATTTCCTGTGCCAAAGGTACTTACAACATTTATTGTTATACAAATGATGAGCAACATGGGGAAATTGAGCTCCAAACGTGTGACCATTTTTGTATACCTTCTTTCAGGTGGACGAGATCAGGCTCAAACTCAGAACACTGGTAGCTCTACTCTCATTGATGCCTGCAGAAATGGAGATCTGCCTCAAGTGAAACACATTCTGTCACAAGGTACTGCAAACATCAATACAAGGGAGTATGACAGGACACCAGCAATGATAGCGGTAAACGAGGGGCACAGAGAAATACTTGAATTACTTGTGAAGAAAGGTTCTGATCTGTCTCAGTTAGATGATGATCAAAACAATATCTTACATCTTGCCTCTAAGGAAGGACACTTAGAGATAGTGAAGTACATCCATTCACTGAACATCATTGACATTGAAAGTAGAGGCGTTCATGGGAAGACACCAATCATGCTGGCTGCATTGTTCGGACAGACGGGGGTGTTTGTTTTCCTTGTAGAAATGGGAGCTCATCTCTCATTGTTGGATGATAGCGCTGAGAATATTCTTCATCTGTCCTGCCGAGGTGGAGATGAAAAGATCGTTAAATATATAATCAAACTCAATGTGGTGGACATAAACAGTAAACAGCTTGGAGGCAAGACAGCAGTGTCACTGGCAGCCGCATCTGGGAATAGGGCTGCATTTGATAATCTTGTGGAAATGAGAGCTGATCTGTTGGCAGTAGATGTATTGGGGAACAGCGTCCTTCATTTGGCCTGTCAAGGAGGAAATATGGACATAGTCAAGTATGCCGTCAAACAAAACATAGTGGACATTAACAGTAGAAGGGCTGACGGGAGAACACCAGCATCGATTGCAGCTGTTTCCGGCCATTCAGCATTATTTCAGTATCTCGTGAAAGTTGGAGCGGATATGTCGGTAGTAGATGTCTATGGTGACAACATCCTTCATTCGTCCAGTGCAGGAGGAAATATGGACATAGTGAAGTATGTATGCAAACAAAACATAGTTGACATAAACACTAAAGCCGCTTTCGGGGAAACCCCAGCATCCATAGCAGCTACTTACGGCCACCTAGCAGTACTTGAGTATCTTGTGAAAAGTGGAGCTAATCTGTCGGCAGTAAATGAAGATGGTGACAACATCCTTCATTTGGCCTGTCAAGGAGGAGATCTGGACACAGTAAAGTATGTTCTTAACCTAAATGTAGTTGACATAAATAGTAAGGGGATTGACGGGTATACCCCACTTATGCTTGCAAGAGAACTGGAGGATAGAGATGTGTTTGATTTACTGATAGAGAGCGGAGCTGATGTCCCAGTTGAGAATTATGATCGTGATAACGTGTTTCGCATGGATATGATCACATTCTGTAAGATGTGCTGTCACACAGCATGGCAGTTCTAACAATAACAAAACATTTAATGAGTAAAAGCATCTTTGACAGCATGACTTTGCAACTATGATGTTTTTCATTATAATTATTACTGCCTCAAGTGTCCAAGAGTAGTTATGTATTGGTCACGCTTGCACTTTTTTGAATGGGCATCTCCATGTTAACATTTTCGATAAAAAGAGGTCCCCCAATTAGCACGCTCTGCCGCGGCGCGCATCCACCGCCCACCAATTAAACACATCGCCGCGTAGGGCAAACACCAACCCCAGGAAGCTACCGAAAAAAGTACAGACGACCGTCCACAGATTAAACACATCGCCGCGTAGGTTAACACATGTCCCGAGAAAAGTACACAAACAGTCGGCATTGACTCGTAGCTAAAATTATTTTAATGAGACCGCGGTTAATTAATTAGATATACACGCGGTCTTATAGTATGAACAGAACAACCACACTGTAGAGCTTGAAACGAAAATAAAATGTTCATGATATCGGCAGTTAATTAGTTATAGGCGCAGAGTCTCATAGTATGTACATAACAACCTAACTTTAGAACTTCAAATGGCACCGCCGATGGACGATACAATAGCCCTGACAAAGTCGAGACATATGAGTTTGAACATCTCGTGAAGGAGCGTTGCGCGAGCGCGCCAACGCCAATCGAGAGTGCTTACGCTTAAGTTTAAAATGTCCTACCTGTGTGACGCGTATTCTGGTCTGCTTCCAGTGGAGGCAAACGGTGAAGATTATCAAGGACTATTTCCTTGTGTGTATTGCAAGACCAAATTGAGATACACATACCATCGTTTTTTAATGCATAGCAACAAGTGTGTTGTGAAGAAAAAGGTGTCTTCTAAGATTCACTCCTGCACGTGTCAGAGAGTGCACTACACTGACTAACCATGAAATTTTGGTGTAGGTACTGAGACTAGACAGATGTCATTCCACTAGCGCCATCGGTCACTGTACATATCAACCAAAGCTCCAAATATTCTCGAGTGAATACATATACACAACTATTCAACAACCCAACGAAAGGTACTGTTAGGAAGTGCATTTATATATATATATTTTTTTTTTCACGCATTTCGTTCATCTTAAAGTTAGCGGACGTATGGTTTGTGTCCGCATCGATACATCACTCCAAAACGACCATGACATCAAAGCGAGGTCTTCATCAGTGGGACTCTGAAAGGAAAAAAAAAGAATCATGATCAAAGGTCTGTTCATGCATAGGTTCATACAAAACCATCGTCTGAAGCAATGTCCTATAGACACGCATCTTAAGCAGATCGCAGAAAACCTATCCCTACAACGATAACTAGGGCATGGGGATTGAGAAGGAAGATTAATATCAGGAAAAGATGAGGTAAGACATTTTTATCAGTACGCAATGTGAGAAGATTCCTTTGTCATATTAATATCATTAGTCTGTGTAGAGGAAGAAATGTTTGATGCATGGAAAGGTGATATATTAAATATTCGAATAATTGCGTGGTTTGATAAACACTTCATGAAAATGTTTTTCCGTAATATTATTAACATCAACATCTGTAGTAGAAGAGTTAATTCATGTGTGTGTGTGTATGTGTGTGTGTGTGTGTGTGTGTGTAAGACGTTATGTTGGAAAATCGAGCAGCATTATGTTATTAGATGAATAATTAAATAATACGTACTTTACCATAATCTTGTTCCGTGCCCGCTTCCTATACTAGGCTCTTGCAATCGTCTCTCCTCCGCTATCACTCTTCCCACAACTCTGTTCTTTTCCTCCGTTCAAACCACCATAAGCATTTTTTATGAACTTAATCCAATGCAATTGCAGGGGTCTTAGGAACAATTTTTAGGATCTACAATTATTATCGCAGGATTATAAACCATCTGTGTTTAGTTTACAAGAGGCATACCTGAAAATACAGACAAATTTGAATTTCGTCAATACAATTCATTCCATTCGTTTTCACCTCCAGGTAATAAAGCCACCGGCGGCGCTTCTATTTTGGTGAGGCAGGGTGTGATTAATGGCCCTGTCCCCCTTAAACGTCCTCTTCAGGCGGTTGCTGTCCGTCTTTCGTTACAAATAACCTTCACTCTTTGTTCATTGTACATTTCTCCATCTTCAGCTCTCCAGCAGTCTGATGTTCAGGATCGATTCGACCAGCTTCCCAAGCCCTGTATTATCATGGGTGATCTTAACGGTCATAACCCTTTGTAGGGAAGTACTGATACTTACATTAAAGGGAACATATTTAATGATGGATCAGCCACGTATTTACACCATGGTACAGGAACATATTCTGCACTCGATCTATCACTAACAGACCCAAATATCTATAACAAATTTGAATGGTCAGTTCATGGTGACCTGTTGGGAAGTGACCATTTCCCCACAATACTTTCAGCTATCAATCCAACTGATGATCCTCCTGCAACAAGGCTAAATTTCAATAAGGCCAACTGATCACTATATCAGACCCTTTGTACTGACGAATTGAAATCTGACTTTTTTTGTCAATGCTCTAGATCCTATTCAGTTGTTCTCGGATAAACTGAATCAAATAGCTGATGAAACTATTCCTATGTCCTCAATGCGACACCACAAATTCGTAAACCATAGTTTACTGATGATTGCAAACAGGCCAGGAAGTGTAGGAAGAAGGCAGAGAAATACTTTCGCCAGCATCCTACAGTTCACAATTTAAATATTGTCAAAATAAATAGTGCCAAAGCTCGACGTGCCTTTAAACAGAATAAGCGTCAGTCTTGGCGAAATTATGTTTCCAAGTTAAATTCACGCACACCCATTTCAAAGGTGTGGAACATGATTCAACGAATAAGGGGCAAAGGTTCCAAATCTACTGTCCACCATCTGAAGGACGGTGATAATTTATTAACTGATAAGTCTGACATGGCCAATACGCTTGGTGAAACTCTCGCCAAACATTCTTCTTCGTCAAGTTATGTACCAGAATTTCAAAAATATCAGAAACAACAAGAGAAAAAGAGAATACATTTTAACTCAGACAATGGCGAAGACTATAATGAATTATTTTCATTACATGCGATCCACGCTGCCCTTGAGCAAGCTCATGATACAGCAACAGGAGCTGATAATATTCACTATCAGCTCTTGAAGCATTTACCTGAATCATGTTTGGGAACACTTCTAAATATTTTTGATTCAATATGGACTTCAGGGAATTTCACAACTTCATGGCGTAATGCCATTGTAGTCCCCATTCCAAAACCTGATCGGGATCATACAGATCCGTCTAATTAAAGACCAATCTCTTTAACGGGTTGTGTCTGTAAAAAACATGGAACGAATGGTAAACAATAGGTTAACATGGTATCTTGAAACCAATAACCTCATAACAAATATCCAATGTGGTTTCAGGAAGAATAGTAGTACCATTGACCATTTGGTACGTTTAGAATCCTTGTTCAAAAATGCAATAGTAAATAAACAACATGGCATTTTAAAGGATTTACATGATGTTGGTTTAAGGGGTCGTTTACCTGTTTTGATATCACAGTTTTTAATCGACAGGCAATTTCAAGTCCGAGTGGGCTCAACCCTGTCTGACAATTATAATCAGGAGCAGGGTGTCCCACAAGGCAGTATTTTATGTCACATCGTTTAGCATTAAGATCAACAGTTTATCCAAGGTTTTAAATGATTCTATCGATGGATCACTTTTTGTGGATGATTTTAATATTTCTTGTCGCGGTAAGAACATACATACTATTGAACGGCAACTGCAGTTGTGTTTAAACAAAATACATAAATGGTGTCTGAAAACGGCTTTAAATTTTCTAAATCAAAACTAATTGTATACATTTCTGTAGAAAGTATAAGCCTCATAAGGACCCTGAACTATCTTTAAATGGCACTCCCATCAAGGTTGTAAAGGAGGCCAAGTTCTTGGGCCTAATTTTGACTCCCATTTAACTTTTCTTCCGCATATTAAATCCCTTAAAGTTAAATGCCTGAAGGCACTTGACTTATTGAAAGTCGTTTCCAATTCAAAGTGGGATCAAGCTACCCTCCTTAAATTTTATCGATCGTATATGGTGGAGCCTGCAAAAGCAACCTAAAACTTTTAGTTTCTGCCAACCACCAAGGTCTAAGACTTTGTCTTGGCTCTTTTAGAACTTCACCTGTTGTAAGCCTCTATGTTGTGGCTGATGAGCCATCTCTTAACTAACGTCGTATAAAATTAACTTACAGTACATGTATATAACAAAATTATATTCCAATGAGTCAAGGCACCCGTGAAGAGCCACCTCCTCGTGGTGGGTGCTGGGTAACGCTAAACGCTCTTCAACCCCCCCGTTGTGGACCCGGGTGTATATTTGGTCCACCAACCCGTTTGCCGTGGGTTGCGCCCCTGTGTCGGTGGAGGACAGGAGTCGGGTAGTTGAGGGCAATAGGATCCTGGAACCGTGTTCCTTTTTGCCCAACACACCACTTCGCCCCTTACTTCACCTAGACGGGAGGTAGAACTGGCCCGGTTCTATCATGCTCTGAATATGGACAGCGTGTTGTTAACATCTGTTGTTCACGGCAGGTCTATCTAACACTACTTACCAGTGATTTTTGTGTTTTGTTAAATTGCCTAGAGTCCAATGCCAGAAGGCGGTGGCTCATGGGCCAATATGGCTATACGAACCTCTGACTTCTGTATTTCTTGGGAAAATTGTCATGGGCCGAACCAGCCTGGCATTTCTTCTTTTAGTCATTGCAGCTTTCATGTTTTTATATCTGGAGTATAACGCTCCTGTAGCCCTAATGTTGCAGATTGGTTTCCGCTGCAACATTGTCCTTGTTAACACTCCATGGTGCATGGGGAACAGAGGTGTGGAATCATATTACTATAACCATGGCTCACAATACCTTTCCTGGTTCATCTAAGAACAAACGCCGTCATGTTGATGGTTTATCATCTGACGAAGAAATCCTTCAAAACGTCACAGATTCTTGGCCGAGATTTCTCATCATTGCATCTGA